CCCCCCCCGGATCCGCCCTTGCAGATAGCTACTTGAAGAAATCCAGAAGCAGCCAAGTAAGGCAAATTCAGTTTTACTCCCCTGAAACTTGGGCTTTAGTCTGACTTAGTTTGTATCCATTGGGCAAATCGAAGGTATGGGACGTTTATTATAAATAGTAGTAATTATGTTTTTAAGTTTTCCTACAATCTCTCTATTAGCTCGATTAGCCTCGATTTTAGGTAGAATGGTTTCAATTGTATTGTATACTAGTGTTAAATTTATGCATTCTTTACTTATTGTTGGTATATGTCAATAATTATCCTGACCATCATATGAAATCAGGCCCTGTGTACTGAGTCTGTAATCAAGGAAATCAATGGTATTGTACGAATTCGGTTTATTTCGTCTTCATATTCTTCATTGCATTCAAACTTTTACACTGTAAATTACAACTGCCTGGTCGAAACAACAACAAAAAATGGTTATAACCAATTGAATGGTCATTACAACCAATTTGATCTAACCAACTGAGCTACTAGACCTCTTGTTGGTAAGCGAGGTGTAGATGGTATTTAAGCCTGGTCACTGTTCGATAACTTCTCGATTGCCTCTTGCAAGGGAATCCGGACTTATGGTGGATTCCGGATTCCAAGCGCTGGATTCCGGATTCCGAGACTCTGGATTACGGATTCCAAAACTTTTGTATTGCGGATTCCGGATTCCATATCGTTAATTTTCAGATACTTTATCTATATTTGATATACTTGCCAGTATAAGTAGAATCGTCTATCAATTAAATCAGCATCTGATGACAGCTTATTCTTGGTGGAGATGTTACACAGTGTGGAAGGGGCTACATCGGTTCAGTCTAGGTCGAGGCGATAGCATGTGAGTGTATACTTTGAATTTCAAAGTAGCGGATTCCGGATTCCAAAGCCTAAAATTTCGTGGATTCCGGATTCCGGATTCTGGATTTCCTTACATGGGGCAATTCTCGAAGTGGAATTTGATTGTGGAAGATAGTCCAGTAGCTCAGTTGGTTAGAGCTTCCGACTATCAATTTAAGAAAAATAATTCACACACATCTTTAATAACTCATCCAAGCAAAATAATAAAATCAAATAAAAACAATATCACATAGTAAATATATTCATATACTGTATTCAGGTGTCAGAGTTGAAAACGAAAGTTGAAACAGATAATGAAGAACGTTTTTTGAATTTTTCACAAAATGTTGAAATAGCATGTTCGCTCTCGTTATTGTTTTCTACCAATGTTAAAATCGTAGATAGATTTTAGCAATGAAATTTAAACCATAATATAATTGGTTAAATTGACAAGAACTAACCTAAAAACAATTGGTTGTCTCAGTTGCATTGCCTTGACCTTAAAAATATTGGTTATAATCAATATATTTTGGTTGTTATAATCCCAAGTAAATTGTTTATAATAACCAATAATATTATGGTGGTTGTAACCCAAAGTAAATCGTTCATGTCAACCATTATTATTATGGTTGTTGTAACCCAAAGTAAATCGTTCATAACAACCAATATTTCAACCATTTTAAAACTGGTTTTCTCAGTTGCATAAATTTAACCAATGTTTTTTGGTTGTTTCAACCAGGCAGTTTTTAAAGTGATAGTAACTATTTGATTCGTTTTTGCTTACATTTTTGAGCATAAATACCATTTGAGCAGCATCGACCTAAAAAATTAAGCTGTGCTTTTCTGGTTTAACTTTGAGACGTTGCATCGGAACTCAAGTTTGGTGATCGAGCTTGGGTCTCATTGGTGAAAGGCATTCCTTGTTAAGAGGCAACATCAGACAGTAGACAACCGCGTATATGGTACTTGAAGAGGAACATACTTATGAATGTCTTATGTGTTTCTTGTCATTTACCAATCAGTCAGTGTCTAAAGACCTAGATTTGCTCGATGTCCAACGTATTGCTATTGGCATAAAAAGTGGTTCAGATATGACGTTCCTTCAAGAACTTGCGAGCGAAAATAACCTGGCTTTCTCAGTCGCATCTAGCAATCAGCTACCAGCAGTACTTCAAAGAATTCAACCCTTTTTATGCAAAGGTAAGGTTGCTAAAAGTTTTAAAAATGCATGCCTAACCTCCTATCCATTTATACTCCATCCATTTATCCATCCATACATCCATCCATCCCTCCTTCCATCCATCCATCCATCCATCCCTCCCTCCCTCCCTCCCTCCCTCCCTCTCTCCATCCATCTATCGGATCACTCCATCTGTCGGATCACTCCAGGAAAAGCCAGGAAAGTGTCCACCAGCCAATATTCCAGATCCAACTGTTTGTAGAAGACCGCCTGATCCTCGATTAATCCTATGTGGAAGGTCTGCTAATAAACCAAGGCAGAGCCAGCAGCAGAATGATTGGGATTGCCCTGGGGAAGACAAATGCTGCGCAGACTCCACAGGATGTCGTTCTGTGTGTACTTATCCTAACATAGGTAAGATTCATCCCTTCTCCATCAATATTAATAATCATTACGGTATGTCGCCCATTATCATGCCGGTACCAGTGCCGCAACCGTTAAAGATCGGCAAAGTGAGATATCATATATGGTCGAGATAACGAGATGACGATATTGCAGAAATAGAAGTCATCTGAGGCAGATAGCATAGCCACTGGCCACAAACATTCAAGAGAGACCAAACTGAACCTCCAGCACCTGTGAACCCTGGTGGTACCATAACTATAAGCCCAGGATCAAAGGACACATCAGTACCAATTTCAATTTCGATGATATCTGAACAAAACCACTGTTGTGACTGAACGGTTATTATAAGTAATACCTTGACTTGAGGATAATTAGTGAATAATTTTGCTCATCGCGCTTTGTCATTAAATCAAATAATTAAATCCAATTTTTTGAGAATAAAACTTGAAAAAGGGTCCCAAAACTAGTTGTTATACTTATATTTATCTCAACTTATTGTTGTTTTTGTTGTTGTTGTTAATCACSTTTTTTGAAGTGGCACGAAACTGGAATCGGTGGCATTAAGCTGGTCACTTAACGTTGCTCTTGAAAATAAATTTTRTGATAAATTTTAAGATTTCWAGAAAATTGTCTTTACAGTATAACAACTGATAAATTTGCTTTGTTGTGGAAAAGAATCAGAATAGTAATGGCTAGTGTACCGGAAGATATAGTGACACGATATATTATATATTTTTTATTTCAGTTTGCGGAAAGAATAGAGACATCGCTATCCTCATGGAGAATACCAATCTGATAGGTGGTGAACGGGCGYTTGAACTYGTAAAGTCCTTCACCGCAGAGCTTGCTGRCGCATTTTCAGTGTCAAGAGGATCTACACATGYTGCTATTGCAAMTTACAGAAGTAGTCCTCGCATTGTAATGTCTTTTTCTGACAGTGCAGCACAAAATAGAGACGAAGCCCTAAAAAGGATAAGAAATATTAAATTTGGTGGCGGTAACACTGGATCAACGAGTGCTGCTCTAGAGACAGCTGTTAAGTTATTCAAATCAGAATATGGTGCTCGGGACAATATGAACCAGGTTTGTATAAACATTATAGCAGTCTTTCGTGTTTTCAATGCTCACCAGTTATTCAAATATAGTTTGGAAGTTTCAGTTACGAGATGATATTAATAATGGTACAAAATATTGTTCCTTTGTCGGTTCTAATTCACTTAAATATAGTGTAGTATAGTACTTAAATATAACTGTTTGCTGCCTTTCTAAGAACAGCAGCAAACTATCGTTGCCATGGTTCGTCTAATCATGGCTTATAAGGATTTAATTATATCTAATATGTAAGAGGTTGTTATAGTGGTATATGATGACGTACGTCAACTGTAAAAGGCGGGCTTTCAAGGGGAGGAATCATTCTAGACTTATACTGTTCAGCAACCGGCTAGTTTTCATCGTCATCACCAACGAAGTTTCAGTTTTATTATTATTATATTATATATGTTATATTATTTTGTTTTATGTATTTGTTTGTATGGAATCTCTTAGACATCTCACAGTCGTACGTAGCTTAGAACCTTTCTACCTCAAGGCTTTTCCTTCAGGAGGGACCAGGTTTTCTTCTAAGAGAGGGTTTAATTGCCTGGCGGGCAGTAGGCGAGTTTCTATGAGAAAGAAATACTTTTGTCAAGAACACGAACAGGTTGTTACAATAAATGGAACATGCTTCTTGAGACTTTAACAGCTGAACTCTTCACCTGGCCACAGTTGCCGGAGTCCAGCTTCTAATTGCATGCCAGCAGTCAGTTTCAAATGTACGATATTGTCGTTGTTTGAGTTGTTAATTTAGATCTAATGGGTAAAAAGGGAAACGTACCATAATTTATCTTCTCTTGTAACTGATAATTACAGATGTTCTGTTGAAACCTTTTTTTTTTTTTTCTTTTTTTTAAATATATAAAATACATATGTGACAACCGCTTTTGTTTCAATAGACTTTGGTTTTGATTGGCTCGTTTGATGTCAGACAAATGGAAAAAGCTGCCGCTTTGGCCAATAGCTTACGCTCAAATCTAGTTGATGTTTTTGCTGTTTCCATTGGAGAAAAAGCTAACTATCCGGCATTAAGAAGTATCGTATCTAAAGAAGTTGCCAAGAACGTCTTTACAGCAACGTCAGCCGACGCGATGAAGGCGCAACTAAGACAACTAGTAAAGACAATATGTGATGGAGGTAAGTCAACTTCTAATCACGTTAACATATCAAACTTTATGGTCAAATTGGGACTACTTGTACCTGGCAGCTCCATTTTCTTTAACGTGTTCTTTTAATCTCATGCTCATTGGTAAATGCATTGATAGCGATTAAAGCAAACAATAAATGTTCTCCATGCACAATTCATGTTAAATTATTTCACGAATCTGTTTCTTTAAACGCAGGATCAGAATGGTGCAGCAAGAAACTTTTATCGGCAACAAGCTAACAAGCTTGGGAAATTGTCGAGCATTTGTGCGGTATTTCCCAATCCCCACCCCCCACCTCTTTATTGGCTCATATATATAAGTTCTAAGTTCCAAGTTCTAATACTTGCAATTTTTCTTCCTTTTCAGCACAAAAGGAATATATTGTAAGTTATAAATGTGTAATCAAATATATATTGCTATAAAGCTTACATCTTATTTTATATATTCATTATTAT